CTGCTTTACAATTTACACATCTATTACTGTTACTCCAAGGGGGGGGGTGAAGAGTAACATTTTAAGAATGACAAACCAGGCGCACACGTTTAATCCAAACAGTCTGGACGTTGAGGCAGAAGGATCTAGGAGTTCAAGGCCAGCCTGGTGTACTGATGTGCCAGGACAGGCTCCAAAGTTACAGAGCACTGTCTCAAAAAATAAAACATGCCGGGCCGTGGTGGCACATGCCTTTAATCCCAGCACTCAGGAGGAAGAGGCAGGCGGATCTCTGTGAGTTCGAGACCAGCCTTGTCTACAAGAGCTAGCTCCAGGACAGGCTCCAAAGCTACAGAGAAACCCTGCCTGTCTCAGGGAGAAAACAAAGACAAATAAGGTAAAGGGATTGTCGCTTTTAATGCTTGACCTACTTCAACACTGATTATAGAGGAAGTTAATTCAGATCTTTCCTGTATTATTTTTTATTTATTCTGTATACAATATTCTGTGTGTATGCCTGCATGCCAGAAGAGGGCACCAGACCCCACTAAAGATGGTTGTGAGCCACCATGTGGTTGCTGGGAATTGAACTCAGGACCTTTGGAAGAGCAGACAATGCTCTTAACCTCTGAGCCATCTCTCCAGCTCTCTTTCCTGTATTTTTATTCCTACATGACCCCTTCTTGTTTGCCTCTTCAGGATCGGAATGCGAGGTCGAGAACTGATGGGCGGCATTGGGAAAACCATGATGCAGAGTGGCGGCACCTTTGGGACATTCATGGCCATCGGAATGGGCATACGATGCTAATCAGGGCAGTGATTGCCTGCTACATCTATACTTTGCCATCCATTTCGACCCTTGTACAATAAAAGTTTTTTTCTTCTCAGTCTCAGCCTATTTTTACTTCAGACATAGCATTTGAAAGCATATACCAAGGATTTAAGAGATTACTGAGGTCAGTGTCCACATGGTTACTTAACTCGAGTTCCCTGGGATCATCTTGACTCTTCAGGCACACATGGTGTACCTTGAATACATGCAATCACTAATACTTAAATATCTTGCCAGAATCATTGGCATACAAATTTAATCCCAGTACTCTGTAGATGGGAGCAGCCATTGCAAGATAGACTGGTTAAAAAAGTGTTCAAATTTGAGCTAATGAGATGTTTCCCACTGGATAGTGATGGTGCATGTTTTTTTTAATGACAACACTTGGTAGGCAGAGGAAGGTGATCTTTGTGAGTTGTGGCCAGCCTAGACCACATACCCTAGTTCCAGGATAGCCTCCAAAGGTACATGAAAACTGTCTCGAGATACAAGTATTCTCACAGATCCTGGCTTAGTGTATTAAATATTGTAAACATTAATCCCTTGATGGTACAGTATACAATTTGAACAAGAACACACAGGAAAAATGACCTATTAACCAAAAAAATTGTATATCCTGAGATTTGTCTTTGTAGCTTCATGTCTGCTATGAAAAACACTAAACAGCCAGTTTTCTTGACTGCCTACATCATTTCACTTCTACTATCCTCACTTCAATATTGGATATTTTAATTATGTAGCCTCCTCATAAAATCCTGTTTATTAGCACAACCCCACTGTCATGAAGTAGACTTGATTTGGCTGGTTCTTACGGATTTTGATTACTCTTCAACTGTATTTCAAAGAGAACTTGCTTAGACAATAAACAAAAATGTGTTTTGAGGGCACATAGAAAAGTAAATTAAGACTTACCAACTATAGATCTATAGATTTCCTTTTTTTTTTTTTGGATTTATTTACTATATACAACATTCTGCCTCAATGTATGCCTGCACACCAGAGGAGGGCGCCAGATCTCGGTACAGATGGTTGTGAGCCACCATGTGGTTGCTGGGAATTGAACGCAGGACCGGTAGAAAAGCAGTTCTTAACCTTTGAGCCATCTCTCCAGCCTAACTATAGATTTCTTATCCAAGAGGGAAACCAGTTAAAGATCTAAAGGATTTCACTCAGAATGGACACTTCAAATTATTTTCTGAATATTTTTATTCAATATTCTTTACTTTCATCCCCTTATCTACAAGATGTGTTGATTGGCAAGCTTGGATGTACTTGTTACACTGGTTACATGTAAAAAGAGCAGATCCAGTATTATCCTATAGTTGACACAACCTTTAAAGAAATTGGCATGCTATGAAAATCCATTGGAATTCATACTGCCTATTGTGAAAATGAAAAGATGGGTAGGAGAGCTCAGTGCTTTAGAATGCTTACCGGCCGGGCAATGGTGGTGTACACCTTTAATCCCAGCACTCAGGAGGCAGAGGCAGGCGGATCTCTGTGAGTTCGAGACCAGCCTGGTCTACAGAGCTAGTTCCAGGAAAGGCTCCAAAGCCATGGAGAAACCCTGTCTCGAAAAACCAAAAAAAAAAAAAAAAAAAAAAA